TGCAACTTTAAGTGAAATGCTAAATGCTAAATGAGCCTCATAGTGACACAGTGGATGTAAGGTCAGTATTTCGCCGTTCGCTTTTGTCCATGGTTGTTTTCACAGTGATTCAGGAGGCTTTTTTGTAGATTTTCTGGTGAGACGGCCTGAGAACCTTTCAAACCATTGATCCTATAGCCTCCTAGAAATAAAAAATACCCAACATTGGCCTCTGGGTCAGATCCTTGTAGTTCCGTCATGCTCCACTAGAGGCATTTCGCTGAGCTCCACACAAGGATACGGGATTAAGGGCAATGCAAACTCCTTCAAGATAGCAAAAACTATTGAGCCAATCAGGGCAGGATTTCATAGATGTGACGTAGCGCAGATAATGGCGGCAGCAGCAGCAGCGAGGAGTCGTGAGCTAACATGACTGTTGTTTCCAGTAAAAGTACACTAACTTGTCGCGTTGTCGTTTTCCATTACGTCTGTTGTGTTTTGGATGGCGAGATGGATCCAAGATGCCGCCCTATTCAAAGGAATGGCCTGTGCTCAGTAGCGCCCCTGTACCCATGGGTGGGACAGCTATAAGCTAGTAAAAAAAATAACAATTGTAAACCGCTTTGAGACTCCGATGTGCAGTGAAAAGGCGGTATATAAATAAATATTACTTACTTACTTACTTAGTAATATCCTGTCCAGATATTATTATAGGTCCATGCGTTGCTCTCATCGGCCTCACGGGTTGAAGTAGTACGTCATTCAAGATAACTGGTTTATCCAATCACATATACAACGATTTAATTTTTTTTAGGTCCCCCCCTCTGAGATATATATCCTATTGAGAAACCCCAAATCCTTCTTCTCATCCAGGAGTCAGGTTACCACTGTGTCATTACAAGGTCAAATATGCAAAAGAGTCTTTTTTTTCCACATAAAAAAAGTTGTATAATGTTTCTTGAATTGGAAATGTACAACTGAGTTCAATCATTTTTATTTTTATTTTTCAAATCAAAATATTCAGCATTTGTAACTCTGGAGGAAAGTATGTACAAGTTAAAGTTATGATTATTATTTATGAGAATTGGCTTCACAACCCGGATTTTACAGCATGTACATTTTCATCATTTGGGTTTGAATTATTGAACTTTTAGTATTTCTTGTTGAAGATAGCTGTGCAAATAATAAACTTTGTGTCAGATTTGGTTTTGAGACATAAACCACCGACAAAAACATCTGAAATATCACAAATAAACACAATGCCTGGTGTTCTGAGCTGTCATGTCGTGCTTAAAGTATGATTTTTTTTTTTATATTTAACGCCACCCTAGGGTTCTCTGCCGACATTTGCTCAACATAATTATATTGTACAGAGGACCTGAAGCTGCGATGCCTCACAAAACACAATTACAAGTAAGTCTAATTGGAACGCCTCCTGCTCAATGCTGGCTTTATACTGATCTAAACGTCAGTAAAATTAGAACCAATGTCGGATGTGGTAAAAATAAGTTCTTTGGACCCGGTTTAGGAGAAAAAAAACCCAAATTAAAATCAAAGTAAATAAAAAAGGTAATAACATCAATAAAAAGGTAGAGATTGTATATTTATGATGCTAAAGTTACAGATTTTATACTTGTTTCTTTTAGGTTAGAGTTAAAGATTTTAATTTATTTACTGTATTTTTTGTTTTTTAATCTTGTGCTGTGTGCTCCTCATTCCTACTGTTCTGTAACTGCGGATGCAACACTGAAATTTCCCCACTCTGGGACAAATAAAGGATCATTTAATCTGTAATCTTTATATTTTAAAAATCAATACAAAACTAAGCTAAACATATAAAATCATGGCTTAAAAACAGGCTATTTTCTGTTTTATTGTTGTTGTGAAAGTCGAGGGAGAGACGCATCCTTGGGTTAGAGTGGATAATAACAAAGAATCTTAATTGTTAAGAAAATGAAGCAATTTAAATCAAGTAAGACACTGGAAATAGTTTATTTCAAAGCTGGCACAACAAACACAATTTGGCTCTATGGCACGTGCGCTCTATCAAATCAAATGACAATTACGCACATCAGGAAAAGATTGGCTACGAAAATTAAAAGAATAATAATTAAAAGCTGTAACTATGGAACAATTGAAAGTAAATCACGCAGCACTGACACTAACAGAAGTGGAACAGTTTCATATAAGAATTTAAGAATCATATAAGAGCGTCTCACTTCCATCATCACTGCGAGAATAGGAAAAAATCTGGTTTCTGAACATTATAAAGCTCGTTGGGTGACCTTGGTCTGTAAAATGGGCTATTTAAATAAACATTACTTACTTGTCCAGTAACGTGGGGAGCCAGAGTGCAAGTCACAAAAATAAATAAATAAAAACACAGCACTTTGGGGAAAGAAGACGCTAAACACCAGGTCCAATCTACCATCGTCTCGTGTCAAGGGTGGTCCATAAACTTCAGGATTCTGAGGCTCGCGGTCTGCGGTTCAGCTCACAGACTAGTTTGTGGTTTCTCCTGATTAGACTCAGAGACACTCCTTACACCAGCGATGGCAACATCAAATACATCAGAGGCAAAAAACAGATTTGCTTCAACCCCCCGAGGACCGGACTGGTTCAATGTTCAGTAAAACATGCTAAAATGATGCATATAAACTATTGACCACTTGACCGTATTTTATTGAATGATTAAATGAATAATACAATATTTTTGTATGGATCTGTCAGAACTTTCGCGTGAAAACATTTTTCAAAAGCTCACAGACAAAAACAAAATTCCCTCAAAGAGAAAACACATGTGCGGAATTGAATTAAATAAATCATTCACAATAAATGTTCTTATGGCTCTGTGCGGCCGGTTCTAATACTAATCATCCTGGAGGCCAAGACAGTTCATTTGCGGACTTGACTTTGACGCCCATGCCCTGTCCTCCTGCTCCCCCCTCCTCTGAGCCCGGCCGGAGCTGCTTGTCTCCTAATAGATTGTCCGTTGTTGTTTTTTATTTAAGTAAACTTTAATACATCAATGAATGGATCCAAGAGAAATAACATGTCTTTGTGCAATTTATTGAAAAGACGATGAGAATAAACATTACAATAGAAGTCCATGGAGAGTCAGACAGGCACGATACAAACCCGACCTTGCCTCGTACCTCTCTCTGCCCCGCTCACATTCAACATCCTGTAAGATAATTGTGTAGAACAAGGACAAAGAAGACATATCACAGTGGGGCAAGGTGGGTTTGATTCATGCTGTAAAAGGAGATAGGACTAAGGAGGAATGTCGGGCACCTGTCATAATCTATGTTTCAATCAACCAAAGGGTAGTCTTGGTTCTGGCCGGTCCCAGGCTCAGGTCATGTGAAAGTGACTTCAGCACAGGAGGCCTTTGTTCTAATATTGTCAGTGGATTTGGCACAAAGATATCCAAATACGAATGTTGACGTGACAACTTATACGGTATAACTTCATATTAGTTAGTAAGAATTATGTTGTTATGTCAAAAACAATTTCTAAATGAGTTTGCTCAGAAAAATCATTGAAAGTTCCGCAGACAAATTTAGACCAGTAGTTCATATCATAACGCTTTTGAGATCTGAGGCAGGCTTTCAGTTAAAGGGCCCATACTTCACAAGAGTTTTATATAATGCAGAGTATGTGCAGATGACTTAAAGACGTGATTCTGTGAACTCTCTCATGGACTTTCAAGGAGGAGGAATTCAAGAGCAGTTTCTCAACAACGACCCTGCTTCTGTCTGGAAGGGGCTGGGGCAAATCACTGACTACAAAGCCCAATACCCCCCACTGTGCACAAGCTCACTGTACAATTGAACACGTTCTTCAGTTGTTTCGTCGACACTGCTGAAGCTGGAGGACGCCATCTTGGATCCCCAAGATGGCGTCCTTTTCAAATCAATGGCTTGTGCTCAGTAGTGCATGTGCCAACACGGACACCGAAAGATTAGCGGAACTCTGGTTCTCCCGGTTCTGCGCAGTAGACGAGCTCCCATAATGCTTAGCGCCTGTTACGAGTGTGTGGGTCTCATGCACGTGCACAGAGGAGCAATCAGAGCTGCGGATCAGAGCAGAGCTAGAGTTTGTGGTACTAAAGTGTGGATTTATAGAAAACTGAAGGAGTTTAGAAGAAAAAAGTTTCAGAATGACGAGGAACACTAAAATCCCCACAAGATCCGACCTTTATAAAATCTGTAAGTTCTCTGTCAGGTTCTCTGTCAGCTGAGGTCGAGCTGTTCCAGTTTTTATTGAGTTCTATGGGAGAATTTCTGGGTAGCCCACGTGATTTTAGTGTTGTTTAGACTGCAATACAGCGAGAATCCCCCAAGCACACAGGTCCTTCAAGCTCCAAGTGTTCCCCATCCAGGTCTTATTATAGATCATGCACCAGCCTCATTGGACTCATCCCGCTTACGGGAGGGAGGGGAACCGGCTGGTTTCCTGGTGCAGTGGTAAACAGAGGAGATGATTGTGGACACTTTGATAAGCATCGATAATATGCTGCACTGTTGTGTGTATTTATATTTTAAAATTGAAGATATTTTTTTGCACACTTTTATATCTATGTTTTACTTGTTTGCACCAAACTCTATAAGAGCCATATCTTTGCATCACTGGTCACAGGTCAGCTGGTTGAGGTGGGCCAAAGAGCGGCAAGATTCCTCTGATTAACTCCAAAAAACTAGAAAACCAACTGATTCATGTGACCGGGACAGATTTCTTGATTGTGGCATTATTTTTTACTTACAATGGCAAAACAAAGAATTCTGATTGTGACGATGATATTAGTCCAGTTGTGGGGCCAGACCTCTTCATGGACGCACTGTTACAGCTGGCTTTATAAACCAAGTCATGATTTTAGTTGGCTGTGGTGTCATTTCAAGTGTAGAAATACGAATAGATGAAATACATGTCAGGCTTTATTAGTCGCCAACATTGAACTGAAAAGGAACCTAACCTTTTGCTTTTCTATGTGTTGGACTAAAACATATTTCATTATCCAGGTGACGCTTCTCTCCTTCAAAGTGGAGTCAGAATATACGTTTGTGGACTTCATTCGCGGCGGGTGAGTGATATGTGTCCTTCAGGCCTGTTCAATGTGTTTTAAGGAGAACATTTGCACACAGCCCTATATGTGAGATTCAAAGTCCAGTTTATACATCGGCTCTTCAGGACGCCTGCTTTGGTCAGGCTTCGGGAATACCTCATTTATTCAGTGAGCTCACTTTTAATCACCGGTTTAATTTGCATTGGTTAATTAGACCTTCAAAATGGCAAGGAGAATATTGGCATGCCTTATTAATGAGACTCTGAAGCACAACTAAAAAACCCATTTGGGATTCTGCGTCGTCTATGCACATACAGCCATGTATTATACTTATTTTACAAATTGAAAATAAATATTTAGTAAACAACTAATAAGTGTTTGTTTTCTATTCTCTCTCTGCCAGAACACAACTCAACTTCACTGTGGCTATTGACTTCACTGCATCTAATGGTGAGTAACTGTATGAGCCAGAACTTTGGGACACTGTAGAAATGGGAAGTTTAAGGAAACATTCCTCTTATGTATCATTTTATCATTGAAAGAAGTTGTTCCATTTCAAACAGTGAGGAAAAAGGTCTTTTTTTATTTTGTATTTATTTATTTATTTAAGCAGGGACAGTACATATTAATGAACATATAGAAATATGTAAATATGTCAGATTTTAGCCATAGGCTAATTTCATCCCTAGACAGGTTGATGTGAAACTTCACATTCAACCTCAAACTCACAAAACAATATCAGAGAAAAGACAACTACAGGACAAAGCATATAACAAGATACACATTCACAAACGGTACAAGGTACATTTGGGATTAGGGAGATACAAGGACAAAAAACTGGACAGGACAGAGGACAAGGAGGACAAAACGTCAGTGAATACGAAGGCGGTTTACTTTTAGCACACATTTAAGTATCAGGTTTCCAGTTGTATACTCTCTCACCTTCTGACAGCACCTCATGATTCCAAAGACTTCTCCTGAGTTTGAGTATGAGCTGTCTCTGTCACAGTCAAGTGACAGTAACTGTTTACAATTTGGGATTAAAACTAAATAAATTACATTATGTTTTTATTTGCCATCAAAAATTCTTGATTACTTTGAGCCGACTTGACTTACACCTACAGTGCCTAAGATGTGCAAGTTTGATGCGTTTGGAAAACAGCAAGGATTATGTACCAACCTCATCTGTAAACTCTGGTCCAAGATCATCTCCTACATGTACGTCTGGTCTTACCATGTGTAAACTCTGGTCCATGATCATTTCCTACATGTACGTCTGGTCTTACCATGTGTAAACTCTGGTCCATGATCATTTCCTACATGTACGTCTGGTCTTACCATGTGTAAACTCTGGTCCATGATCATTTCCTACATGTACGTCTGGTCTTACCATGTGTAAACTCTGGTCCATGATCATTTCCTACATGTACGTCTGGTCTTACCATGTGTAAACTCTGGTCCATGATCATTTCCTACATGTACGTCTCGGTCTGATCCTAGTGGCTGCAGTTTCCTCGTTTGAATCCCCTCCGACCAATCAGAGAGCGGGGGAGGCGGGTGTTGTAGGTCGTGTTGGTGACGTCAGGAGTTTGCACAGATTTTGCTGGTTGTAGTTTGGCAGCAAATGTGAAAGTGAAGTCATCTGTTATGGTTCAATCCAAATATCAAGAAACTGAAGCCGGAGCAAGAGGAATGTTTAGCAAACGTCATTGCTGCAAAGATGTTGTGGCTCTACTCCCCACGGGCTCCGTTAGTGGCAAAGGAGATGGCCAAAGCTAGGCTAAATGTTAAAGCTAGGCAAAATGCTACATGCCTCACTCGGGCTCATTACAAACGTCACGATAAACTCAGATCCAAAGGTTTCAATCTGCAAAAGGTGTTAACCCCTCCCACCTGTTAACGGAGTCAATGGAACAAATCCAGACCTTAAATGAAATTAAAACAATGGTGTGGTAAGACCAGGCCAGTACCAACCACCAAAGCATTTTATTTGTATTATGTGTGTAAATTATCATTATAACTATGAAAACCATAAAAAGGCAAAAGGCTCCAACTCAATCCATGCGCAATTTCCAAGCTTTTATCAGCTCCACAGGTGTCTTGGTTCACAGCCCTCAAGCTCCGACCCAATAGACCACCTGCTAACATAAAAGATTCATTCTCCCAAACGCGCTGCCTCTGAATGTTTCACCACTTTTGTTTTCATCTGTGTCCCTTCTCTGCATTCTCCGAGTCCTTTTGGATTGGTTTGATTATGACGCGATGTTCAGTCGTTTAGGGTCTGCGTGCTTGTCATTGTTTGCACCGCTGCTTTTGTCAATCCCAATAGAGCCGAGGGTTATTGTCTCCCGCCGCGAGAGAGGAGCAGCGGTGCGTTCAGGGCCTCGTGAATGTGGCCCGTGACACGCACCTGTGGCACTGTTATTAGTATTCAAAGAAAGGGAAAGTAAGCGGCGCATGCATCTATCAAACACAATCGAATTAGAGCATGCTAAAACCCGGAGTCTTTGTTCTAGACTCGGAACGAAGGGAAAAAGTAGAGCACTCTGGAAAGCTGCGTCAAAATGAAAGGCACAGTGATTGTATTGGAATGAATTAAGCACTACAATAAATGTATATATAAAATTTTAATAAATAAATGGTATGTTTAATGAACTAAACAACCTGTGGACTGTTTGTTTATTTATTTGTTTCAGGCCTTTCACATCGGGCACATGTCACCTCTTGTCCATCATAGTTTCCAACCAAAATAAATAAAGTATTGCTAACATGCATAAGAGGAAAAAATAATAATACTAAATAAACCAAAATAGTTGCCAAAATAGTAAAGTGAGTCATACACATATCTCCAAATCCACACCAACACATCTGGCAGTGGTTTGATTCCTATCTAACATGGTGCTACAGTACATTGTGCAGCTTGGTTACATAATTCTATTCACTCTTTTGCAATGAGAAACATGGATGACTTTGGTCTTGTGTCTTGGGGCAAAGTAGAACTGAAAAAATGCCTGTTATTTTCTGACTGTAATGACTAAAGGCTATAATGACTACAGTATAGTAGTAAATATCTCCATTGCGAGGTCAATAAAGTACTGATATTATTTCCAGGTAATCCATCGCAGCCGACCTCTCTGCATTATATGAGCCCGTACCAGATGAACGCCTACGCCATGGCCCTAAAAGCAGTGGGCGAGATTATCCAGGACTACGACAGTGACAAGCTCTTCCCTGCCTACGGCTTTGGGGCTAAGCTGCCCCCCGACGGCAAGATCTCTCACGGGTTCCCACTGGTAAGGCACACAACACAGTGGCCCCCGTTGGCCCCTCCCTCACATCAGCACACATGGATCAGACCGGGCAGGGCGGGGTCCAGCTAAGTGTGACGCTGGGACCACAGCTGCTCTGGCAAGTTGGAAAGTTGCCTCATCTGCTGCCAGCGGAAATCTCCCAGCATCCCTTTCACTTCCTCCTTCAGGGTCCTGAGGGAGAGGCAGATGATAAGGCAGGCATGAGGCTCCAGGGGCCCCCACCTCCTCATGCATGTCATTACTCTCTGTGTTGTTGTGAAATAGGGACATTTTATCAATCAATCAAATTCTAGAGCGCCTTTCATACACAGGGCAACAGGAAACGCTCCACAGTCCAAACACACAAAGCACAAATCATCACATAAAACAAACACCAGAATCACCTTTAAAACGTTTAAATTACACAAAAACAACTAACAACTGAATGATTCTATTTGGTACTACTTTTATCGGCTTTTTTTTTTTTTTACCCACTTTTTAATGTGTTTTAAACCGCATACTTTTAAACTGCTTCATCTTAATATTTGAATAATTGTATATTTATTGACTTTTTAACTCGGCACGGTGGCTGAGTGGATAGCACTCTCGCCTCTCAGCAAGAAGGTCCTGGGTTCGAATCCCGGTTGGACCAGGGCCTTTCTGAGTGGAGTTTGCATGTTCTCCCTGTGTCTGCGTAGGTTTCCTCCGGGTGCTCCGGTTTCCCCTACCACTAAAAATATGTACAATAGGTCTGGCATGTGCCTCCTGTACTGGCACCCCCACTCCCCAAAAATAACAATTGTAAACCGCTTTGAGACTCCGATGTGCAGTGAAAAGGCGGTATATAAATAAAGATTACTTACTACTACTACTACTAATGCATTTCTGTTTTTTTTTAATTTTTCTTGTGAAGCACTTTGAATTGCCCTGTACATGAATTGTGCTATACAAATAAATGATCGATTGATTTATTGATTGAAGAAATTAAAACCTTTAAAACACACAAGGAACCAAAAAAATAATGACCACAGTACATTAAGAAATAGAGATACAATCCTTCAAAAATATTGGACATTTTAATGATATAAAATGAGTCACGTGGCAGCTGTAAGAGTCCCTGTTATAATACCATCGTGCACATGTTAAACCGAGGACTGATACGGGTTTTAGTTCCAACCAAACTAGGAGCACGCCAGACAATAATAAACATTAGCCAAAGGGAGAGATGCCTGCAGCAACAATGACCCTTTCTGAACCAGTGTGATACCCTGTAGTGTTTGTGCGACACTGTTGAATCATGTGCATCAAAGTATAAAGGTGGAGAACACTGCAGGATGCTAGAATACACACAGGTACATTCAAAGTAACATTTTGGTTCAATCCCAAGTTCTAAGAAGACATTGGGAAAATAATAATAATAATAATAAAAAGAATAGAATGAACACAAGGGTCTAAGATGTAAAAAAGCTGCAGTACAAAAAATGCAGCAGCTCGAGTCCTGACTAGAACCAGGAAGTACGACCATATTAGTCCGGTCAATCAATCAATCAATCACATTTTATTTATAAAGCGCTTTTCATACATAAGATGCAACACAAAGTGCTTTACAGTTTGGTTAAAAACAATCCCGCCGACCCAAGACCCCTCCCCCAGACCACCCAACAGACCCCCCCCAAACCACAGACAAACACACACACACGCGCTCATGAACACTCATACACACACACACACACACACACACACACACACACACACACACACACACACACACACACACACACACACACACACACACACACACACACACACACACACACACACACACACACACACACAGACACACACACCAGTAAAACAATAAAAACATGATGAGAGACTTGGCAGGGTTCAGATGCAACCAGTTGAAAAAGCGTCATCCAAGGAGCCGTCTGCACCAGGAGCAGAGAGCCGCCCGTAGCCACAGGGGACGACACAGGACCCAGAGGAGACATGAAACCGAGGCCCCAGGCCCCCACCAGGCCCAAGAGTCCGACCCCCGCAGCCACACCGACCACTGCTCCCGGTGCAGAGGGCTCCTCCAGAGGAAACACTGGGTACACTAAAAACAATACAATAAGTAAAACACTAAAATGTGAGACTAAAAGGAACACACAATACATGAATAATAGCAATAGCAATATAATAAATAATAAATAATAAAAGATAAATAGAATGGAATAATAAAAACTAATCAAAAGCTACTCTAAAAAGGTGCGTCTTGAGCCTACTTTTAAAAATATGAACGTTCTCTGCGGCCCTGAGCTCCTCCGGCAGACTGTTCCAGAGACGGGGGCCGTAGTGCTGGAAAGATGCCTCGCCGTGAGTGTGTGTCCTGACTTTGGGGATGGTTAGGAGTCTGCTGCCGGAGGAGCGCAGGGGCCGGTCCGGTCCTCAGGTCTCTGCACTGGCTTCCTGTGGCTCAGAGAATAGACTTTAAAACAGCTCTGCTTGTTACAAGTCTCTCCATGGCCTCTCACCAAAATATATTAGTGACATGTTAGTCCCATATGAACCAGCCCGGACTCTGAGGAGCACATGGACTGGACTCCTGCTGGGACTCTGAGGAGCACATGGACTGGACTCCTGCTGGGACTCTGAGGAGCACATGGACTGGACTCCTGCTGGGACTCTGAGGAGCACATGGACTGGACTCCTGCTGGGACTCTGAGGAGCACAGGGACCGGACTCCTGCTGGGACTCTGAGGAGCACAGGGACTGGACTCCTGTTAGTGCCCAGAGTCAGAACTAAACATGGGGAGGCTGCTTTTCAGATTCATGCTGCTAAAATCTAGAACAATCTTCCTGAAGATGTGAGACAGGCCTCCTCTCTGACAATGTTTAAAACCAGGTTGAAGACAGTTCTGTTTAGCTGTGCATACAACTGAGGGATTTTATATTTTTATCTTTCTTTTTAATGTTCTGTGATTATTTATGATTTTTTATTTTGTTCAGCACTTTGAGTTGCCTTGTGTATGAATTGTGCTATACAAAAAAACTTGCCTTGCCTTAAGATTGTACTACAGGAGGTGTGAAACCGTAGAGCCTGTTTTTTCATTTTATTTCCCGAAGTCTTCTTAGCACTTGGGATTAAACCAAAATGTTACTTTGAATGTACCTGTGCGCATTTTCACATAAATCACCTATTGTGTTCTCCACCTTTATACTTAGATGTGAAAAGTATCCATGACCACAGACTTTAAAATCACCCGTTGGGATGTGTTCCTCTCCGTATTGTGTTTTTGACAGAATGGAGACGATGTGAACCCAAACTGTGTGGGCATCGAGGGCGTTCTGGAGTCGTACTTCCAGAGCCTGCGGACGGTGCAGCTGTACGGTCCCACCAACTTTGCCCCCGTCATCAACAAAGTGGCCAAGTGAGTCCCGTGTCTGCTTCAATCCCTGCTCAAACCAACTGGGAAATGTCTCACGGTGTTTTCTGTGTACCGGGTCTGATTAGGATTAAGAAAGCAGTAATAAGCATGAGTCACAGCTTGTTGGAGCGGCAGATTAAAGAGTTTATTTACGGGGGAAGGCCAATCCAAGTCGGATCAAAGATGATGTTTGAAAATCCCATTGGCTTTTTCTCAAATCCCCGTGCTTCATGTGGGAGCATTTATTATTGAATTATTGCTTAAATGAGAAAAAGTATGTGTCGTAAAGCTGGCACATCCAAAAGCTTTTGCCCTTGTTTTCAAATAGAATACCTGCACAACTGAAGAATGGATTGGTGGATGAATTGCTAAGAAAACACTCTCACACACTCTAAACACACACACAGACACTCACAAACACACACAAACATACACATGCTCACAGACACAGACACCCACACAAACACAGACACACACACAAACATACACATGCTCACAAACACAGACACCCACACAAACACAGACACCCACACAAACACAGACACACACACAAACACAAACACCCATACAAACACAAACACACACACAGACACTCACAAACACACACAAACATACACATGCTCACAAACACAGACACCCACACACACACAGACACCCACACAAACACAGACAAACACACAAACACAGACACCCACACACACACAGACACCCACACAAACACAGACACCCACACAAACACAGACACACACACAAACACAGACACCCACACAAACACAGACACCCACACACACACAGACACACACACAAACACAGACACCCACACAAACACAGACACACACACAAACACACACAGACACACACACACAAACACAGACACCCACACAAACACAGACACACACAGACACACACACAAACACAGACACACACAGACACACACACAAACACAGACACACACACAAACACAGACACACACAGACACACACACAAACACAGACACCCACACAAACACCCACACAAACACAAACACCCACACAAACACACACAGACACACACACAAACACACACAGACACACACACATACACAGACACACAAACACAGACACCCACACAAACACAGACACCCACACAAACACAGACACACACACAAACACAGACACACACAGACACACACACAAACACAGACACACACACAAACACAGACACCCACACAAACACAGACACACACACACTGTATTTTCTCTGTCTTATTGTATCTGTATTTGTTTGTACGTCTGCACTTGTATCGTATGCCTATATTTTCACAATACAATAAATAAAAATAAAATAAATTAAAAAATAAAAACTGATTCCTGAGTAGAGCCTTTGCTAAATCGTGACAATTGCTTAAAACAAATCCAGAAGAGTGGAAAGGCGGTACAGAGGAAATATCTAATTCGGAACTTCCAGCCATGTGTGTGATGTGGGAAAAATATCTCTTAGAAAGCAAAACGACTATGGCACCACATACCATGGAAGAAAAAAGAGTTATGCACAATGGTCTCCCTGAATGAAAGATAATATACTGTATATTGTTTTAGGATGTTCAAAGTGCAATACCAGTGAAGCCACAGCTGCCCTGGGGTAGACAGGTAAAAGAAAAGCTTCCATATGAGCAGACAAGATGAGACACTGGACAATTTCACTATTTTAGACAAAGCATCAACTGCATACTTCATACAGTGGCAGAAGCTGTTTGAGTGAGACCTTTTCTGTTCAAGGAAACGACTTCTGTTTTTTGGAGAAAGAGTCAGAATTGGCCACATCCAATTTGAGTAAAAAAAAAAAAAAAACAGTTTTGAAATTGAATTGGAAAACACAATGTTTTTCTCCTGTCCAGCAGCCGCACTAACAAGTGAAGGACGGTCAAAGACACTATCTTATCACTCAGACCTGGAATCATGGTCATATTTTTCCTGATCTCTGTACACACAGAAGAGAGAATAGATTTCTTTGGCTCCTTTCCTCTGTGCTTGTTATTTTTGAAGGGCTCTCAATAGCTCAAGGTTGGAGTTTTCAGGCAGTAAACAACTCAATCCTCTCCAGTCGGAACAAGAAGTGGTTTCCATGGTGTGAGGGAGGAAGTCCCACTGGCGACCACAAAGCTTTTTGGTATTGAAGATAAGATAAGATAGACTTTATTGATCTCACTCTGGAGAAATTTACACGTCACATTTGGCACAGATAGAATCACTCAGATTGTGAAACATGTTAAAGGTTAAAAATATAGTCTGCCCAGGATGTAATTATGTACAATAAAAGAAAGAGTGGCAATAGCAGTGCAGGGTTTTTTCAGTCCTAGTGCATTAGTGACTTAAAGTGACTTATTGTACAGTCTGACAGTGAGCCAGACTGTCTCTTGAGGGGCTGCTGTAACGGTATGGTGAAGTATTATTTAAAAACAACCACAAAATGCAAATATGATGATGATGACCTTGATTGTTGACACTATACTGGGTGGCTCTAGATGGGAACTTTTTGTGTGGAGTTTGCATGTTATTCCTGTGTCTGTCTACGGGTGCTCAGGTTTGCCCGACAACCAAAAACATATACATGAGTACCCTGTAACTGTCATGGTGTGGATTTTATTTTTGTATTTTAGTTTTATTTTGAAATTGGTTTTCTGTGGTTTGGTTTTAGTTGCTTCCTGTCTTGATCGTCTGCCCCGCCCTGATGTGTTTCACCTGTGTCTGTGTCTATATGTACCCTGTGCTTCTCTACCCTGGTTTCTAGTCCATTGTATTGTTAACGTCTGTCTTGTTTGTTCATGTCTTCAGTCTGTTCCTGGTTATTTTGGTTTTTGAAGTTCTGTTTTTTACCTTGGACTTTATTTTATTAAATCATTATTTTGGCATTCTCGCATTTTGAGTCCTCCTCCTTCCCACCACATGACAGTAACACTCTCCATGACCCCACTCCCACCCTATATGGGCTACTTTTCATTCATTTATTCATTTACTACCCCTGCTTCGGGCATCGTGGGGTTAAGTGTCTTGCCCAAGGACATAACGACAGCAGACATGAGTGCGAGCAGTTGGAGTGGGTCTTGTGGGGGGATCAAACCCACGACTTTCCGCTTTAAAGGCCAAGGCTCTACCAACTGAGCCACTGCCACTAATGTTATTCTTTTCCTTGTCCTGAAATGTTCCAAAACGATTAAACGTGTTCATCAGATAAGTCGGTCTTGCAAAAGTTGAATTCGAATTGTGTTACGCAATGAAATCATACAAAAGTTGTCTGGAAAGAGGTCCTGCATAAGTGACCATACAGCATTTCTCTAAGTGCAGTGAGTATGAAAAGCTAACCCCAAACCATTCTGTAAGGACTGTTGAATGACCTTCACTTGAATGTCACTTTGCTTTCACAACACCGTTTTCCTTTCCGTCAAAACATCCAACGTGAAATCTTTATGATTGTGGTCACGACTTGACAAAATGTGCAGAAGGTCAAGCTGTACTCACACTTATGCGACATCACAAGCAATGTAATGGGTCAAAGAGAAATGGCCAAAACAGTCAAAAAAAAATGGTCGTTCAGTAGAGCCCAAGCTATAAACTGAGACCTCCTCCATTATCGGTATGGAGACACAAACACAAGAGAAAGCATTTGTCCTTTTTGCTGATATTTTGTGAGTATATCCTGCCTTTTCTTGGGCCCAGTTTATGATCCCCATGTAGTGGACTTGTTCTGTTTTGCTCCAGGGAAGAGCCAGGAGACCGATCCTTCAGTCTGTCCTGGCTTTCCCCTGAGTCCTCTCACAGTGACATCTGCTCAGGGCTGTCGTCCATGTGAGACGCACAGAGCCCAAGATTCTGTTCAATACCCTCGGCTCCAACTTCCTTTGGGCCAACTCTGCTCTGTAAAGACACCGAACCCCCATAAGCTCTTCACACACACTCAGATGTTTTATACTTTCATTCATTCAAATCAGTTTTCTTCACTCGCTTCTGACTTTCACAATAAAAACGCTTCAAAGCTGGATTTGTTGTAGCATATTTTTTTGTGAGGTTACTGAGGCCATGCTATTTAAAAAGAAAAAAGTCCCAATGTAGTCTCTTACATCAAGCTACTCTGAATTGATACTTGATATTTTACATGCATTATATTATACTTTATTATACCTCACAGCAGCAGTAGAACTCTATTGATATGAATGTCATTTCAAAACGTTCTACCAGACATTTTTTGATAACGAACCTCTCAAACCCATTGCAACACAATTTGCCTTGTAATTCAGATGTGTAAGATCAATACGCAAGTAGTTCCGGCCACTTCGTTAACGGGCTTTTATCAACTCGGCTCCGGTCACTGCTTCTGTCTGTGCGAGAAAAGCTGCTGCTCAATAAACACAAATATCAATCAATCAACTCACTTAAATGTTAATCGGAGAATACATTATACATTTACATGCTTAATACACATGCACGGAGGTTTTCAGAATGATCTGTTAACATTTCAGGACAAAGACACTGTTTTAATGCCACAAAATGTGACTGTGGTACCTGAAAAACATTTTAGAACATATTTGCAGAGGATATGATTATGGATTTAGGTTGAGTTTATTTTTGGATCACTCACCGCTGATGTTCAAGAGAGTTTTAGTTCTGGCTAAACCTTTGGGAACTATTTCATTTGCAGTCATTAAACCTTTTAGCATTCATAGAAGTGGACTGAAGTTTATTGTGTGTGTGTTCAGTTGGTACAGAACCTTTAGTCTGGTTTGCCCCGTCGATAATTATGCAGTTTTCCATAATGACCCGCACAATATTTACTATATCACTAAATACCTAATTCATTACATAAATTCCACAAACATACATTTGATTTATTTCAACCATTGAATCCAACAGTCCATTAATCCGTATTAACATATGATATTGGTTTAATCCAAATGTAACTGAACTAATTTTGTTCAGAAATGTCTAAATAATAAAAGTAATCCTTAAGCAAAAATAAACCTCCCATAATAAAAATGAATACATAAATAAATACAAATCAAACCAAACATAGCCACAGATGCAACCTCCTGATGTTGAACAGTTTAGACCACCCTGAATAAAAACCTTAGTTATAGTGTATTGGTTTATGACAATGGAGGGTTTAGTTTTGACAAGCTTCACAGTCTAACGATGAAGAGTCTGGGTCCGTGTTCTGTGTGACCTGTGCTGATGTTCCAGCTGTGCAGCGGAGATCACAGACGGCTCGCAATACTTCGTCCTCCTGATGATCACCGACGGAGTCATCTCAGACATGGTCCAGACCAAGGAGGCGGTGGTCAACGTGAGTACTTTGCACAAAATGATGTTTGTCTCACTCGAAGAAACATGACAAAAATAACGACAGGTTTCAGATGAGACTGTTGCAACAGCACTGACATTAAATATGATCGTAAAGAGCTGGGTCTGGCAGAGCCTACTGATATGACTCGTACCGAGACACACATGCAGCAGGGCCGGGCCTGAAGGCGAGAAGATGATATGGATATCATTGCACACAAGTAGAGGGCATCACAGTGAACAAGTGCGCAGTGAAAGAAGTCGCAAACCTCTTTCAGATTTCAAAAAATATGTTTTTGCGGGTTATCCCTGCGGCTGCCCTTTCTACTTTTACCGTGAGTAACAGCCAAAAAGGGTCACCCGCTTTTAATGTGCGGACCCCATTACCGCAGACTTTGAAAAGCTGGACCACGTTACCGCGGTGAAGGAAGGGAGCGACGTAATGTTGTAACATTACAAACATATGATAATATTTCTATCAAAAAGGCTTTGTTTAGAATTTAAATGAATGTGGGATTGTTTTTAGATTAAGAAATGATAGTACCAACTGGTTATACATTTAATGTTAATATTACACTTTTTATTTTATTTCCCATGTCCCCCTGATGCCCTCAGCATTTGCTTATCTGGCCTACGCCACAGGCCGGGTCTGCACACATGGCATGATACAAAACGTGGCTAGATTCAGGGGATCTTCAATTTGATATGATTCGAAATTATACATGTGTAAGCCAGGCATGTCCAAACTATGGCCCACAGGCCGATGGCGGCCCTCCGTAAAAAAATCTCCAAAAAATCACAGTGTCATCCAGCCAACTTCAGCTCCACCCTGTTATTGGCTGTATTTGTATAAACTAACATTTGTTTGTTATTGTGCCACAAAATGATTTAGCTTGTGAGATGGTAAACATTTGTAATTCAGGCGACTTCAGCACCTACTAAAGGTTTGTGCTTAATTTTGTGGATGCATTTTTTCATACTTCTACTTCCAGGTGCATCATAAATAATAACAATAATCGGTCCTCCCAGTTGTCAATCATTCTATGTGCTCATTAAATAAGACCAGAGTTTTGTTGAAAAAGTGGAGAGGGCGGTTCTTTCCTATATGTAGCTTTACCATGACACAACATTAGATGGAGGTCCAAGGCCACAGCTTATGTTGAAAAACTGCTTGATACAGAAAAAAACATGAATTATTTAGTGAAGTATTTAGTCATAATGAAATCCCTGCTGCCATTGTTCTCTCTCGTCAGTCTGGATTAATTCATTAGCAGCAAACATGGAAACCAATCAGGCTGCCTTTGTCTCACCTTGGTTTGTCAGAGTGTTCTGCGTCTGAAGGATGAGGTAGAGAGACACTTGATCCAAACTGCAGACACTTCACACACAAGACATGGCTTTATAATGTTAACATGAAAGTGATGGAAGCCTTTGGTGGTAATTCAAGTGGAAGGCATTTGTGGTTTGACGTGAAGGCTCCATACGGGTCTAAAGCACTACAAAGAAATTGAAAATATGAGGTAAAATCGCTTGAATTGAGTGGCTTTTATCTTAATTTGAGTACATTATGACTCTATTTAAACACGATTATCCAGTGGAAAAAGTCAATTAGTTCATTTTTCATTGATTTTCCTCCCTTTATTATCCATTTCTGGGTCAGGGGGGCGGCAATCACAATGCACCAGTCTCTCGCTGATCCTCCTACAGGTGGTCCACAGGAAGATGGCTGCTCCCTCAACACAGATATGGCCTTGATCTTTCAGCGGGGATTTCAGGCAGTGTGGGGTTAAGTGTTTTGCCCAGGGACACAACAACAGCAGACATCAGTGGGAGCAGATGACCCATGGGTGGGATCGAACCCACGACCACTAGGTCCAAAGATCAGTGCTCTACCAACTGAGCTACTGTCGCCCCCAAGATAATTAGTCTTATCTAAAAAAACGGCTGTATTTTCTTAGTCCAAGGGAGACATTTCTCGTATCTTTCTAAAACAAGATAATTTTGTTTTGTCCCGATGGCATTTTTTGTACTTATTTTGTATCACTTTTTGCAGTGTTTGTGCCGTCTACAGCAATGAGAAATTTACATTCATCACTGTATCTCAATTGTTTGACATGTGAGACTTTCTTAGCATACTAAATAGTAATTGAATTATCAAACAGTTATTTCCAGATCAGCACATAAAACATTAAAGGCATTATTAATTACATTTTTAATTCAAAGTTGTTTTTTTTTTTTTTTTTTTTTTGCATTAGTAACCTTTAGTTATGGTAGTATAATCTGGTTTTTTCCACAAAATTCATTGCGAAAAACGTGTGCAATAAATAAAAGGTAAAACATTGAGAGAATGTGTGGTTAAAAGATCTCTAGTAGCTTCCAGAAGTGGTCGCTGGTCTTCTGCAACAATTCACACATGAGATAAGATCACACAATGAAGAAATTTAGATTTTCATTAGACAGAAATAGGATTACTCAGAAAATGGATGGATGGAGGATTACTCAGGGTGCGCAAAAAGACAAGAAATGTGCAAAAATGTTAAAAAAGTGAATTTATTTTGTGTAAATTTAAAAAGTGACCACAGCAGTGCAAGTTTACGATCGATTACAACACAAATCAACCCAAAACTTAAAAAAAAAAAATCACATCATCCTTCAGCATTCGTTCAAGCATTGTTTTTTTTTTGTTTTTGTTCTTTAAAATATATATTGCAGCTGATTCCAACTGGCTGAGGATTTTGCTCATATGGCTTAACTTTGGAAAACTAAATCCCCAGAACTAACTTTCCGAGTCTCATGTAAATGCCATAAACACAATATTTTATGATATAGCAGTGACTTTAATGTACGTTTATACACATTTAAAATCATTTGCCATTATTTTAATATGGACATTTTTTTATATTAATGCTATGATATGTGGATAGTAAAATTCACAAATCACAACATTATTATCGATATCTGTTCAAATAAACTAATAAGATAAACTATTGATGTCATAATGGAGACATGTACGACATCTATCTAAATCTGTCATTGTCTAAGGCTTATAAGTTTTTATTAAGACAAAAAAAGTTACAGAAGTCTAGCTACGTCCCTTATCAGACTGTGAGCCAAGGTGAAAGCCCCCTCGTCCCTGTTGATGGTCATGGTAATTAAGCAGCACTAGCTTCCTTTCCTTTAGTTGTGATATTAAAAGACCCTTCTAAGTCTTAAACATAAACAGACAAAATGATCATTTTATATTTAAATATCATTGTCATATTTTCTCAGGGTTCCTCTCTCCCTCTGTCCATTATCATCGTGGGAGTCGGCCCGGCAGAGTTTGATGGTAAGCTTTGATTTCTTCTACACTTTCATAAAACTCTTGTATACATGCAGCCCTCCCCCTCATTTCCTTGCTCTCCCAGCCCTAGACCCTGGACTTGACCTGGAACCTTATTATTCCCACACTGCATATGAACAAAACGAATTATTCTAATGAAATGTCCTGATCTTACAGAGATGTTGACCTTTCCAATGCAAAATGTCACCACAGTAGGCTTTTTATCCCATAAGACATTTGTGTGAATTTCTCCTCTAATTGTATATAATTAGCGACGGACTTGCTGTTGTGCGGTGTTGTGGCTGATTCGTGCTAGAGCGAGATGAGGCTCGGGAAACTATTGACCTTTTAATGTTAAGAAAGAAGTTAAACAATGATTCTCCGTTCCAACCTTTGTGAATTGAACTTTACAGGTTTTGTTTGTTTGATATAGAAAAGTTTGGCGATGGTTGGCAATCTAAGGCACATGAAGGATAAAGTTTTATAATACAGCTCATATATTAGAGAAGGTAGATTTTAATTATAAGTGTTGAAGATTACAGTAATGGCCTGATTACGATGCAAAATACATGGCCAAATCATCTATAAAAAGAAGTCGCATAATCTGTTATTCTGCGTGAACCAGGCTGGTACAAAGGAAGTGTTATTGTTATACATTGTTGGGGCATAACCATAGACTGTATATATTAACGGACAGAGTCACGCTCCGCCGTTCATAGGAGTTGGCCATGAAAAGTGCTTTCATGGAGCAATCCAAAATGGCCGCAAGTGGAGCTTTGGGCCAAGAGTCAACTTTTGGTCCATCCTGTAAAGACGTTTTTGAGAGGTCTGCCAATGCTATATGTTAGCATTGGCTAATTCTACTTCTGGGTCCTCCCCCATCGGCCCGGGGTGGTATTGCAGCAAGTCAGCGCACGTTATTTTGGCCACTTTTGAGCTGGGACCCACCCCCACTGGGCATAACATGTATTATGCACAATCAGAACACTGTTTTATACCTATTTTGTATTTGATGTCTATATTGCGTGAGGTTCGGCACCATTACCAAGGCATTTTTTGCTCAAATCAATAAAAAATATTACTTTTAGCCACCATGACATTTGCAATGATTGAGTAATTCTTGGGAGAATCTTGAGTAGCAATATTACTAATTATTAATTATTATTAATATTATTAAGTGATAGAACCAAACTGTTGTGGAGCAAGGAATTAGTTACATTGATTATAATACCAAGTTAAATATGCAGTGAAAATTTATGCACAAACCATAACTGTATAAAGACAACTTCATATTTCCTTTGACTGATACTGTATGTGAGATATGTTCTATCCATAGCCTGTAAATATTAGTAGTAGTCACGCCTATCTCCGCCGTTGAAACTATTGTGCCACCACTTTTGCCTTCTGTGGGCTTAATCAAAATGGCAGCGGGGAAGGAAAATGTAAAAAAAAAAAAAAAAAAAAGTATTCTTCCCTCAGCATCTGGAACATAGCTTTGGACCAAGAGTCACTTTTGGACAATCCTATAAAGGTGTTTGAAAAAGAATAGACAACGCCTTACAACAGCATTGGGTAATTCTCTTTCTGGGTACACCCCCACTGGCCCGGAGTGAGATTGCAAGGAAACCGCCCACACTGATTCCGACCCAGTGCATTCAATCTATCTATGTCTAAATTGCCGTACACAACCATTTCCTTTTTAACACGCAGCCCCTTGTTGTCAGAACGGCTGTATAGTTAGAACTCAAAGTCAAGTGCGGCAGTCTTTTCCTGTCCAGGGATCAATGCGCTTGCTCTCTCTGTTAGACAGTCTTACAGCCCAGCCGGCCGTGGAGACTTAGCACCTCATCATCCTGCAAGAGAAAAATCATTTCCAGCCGTTTCTTTGCAATCGAACGGAGGGATTGTGCCCCGGTCAAGAGGTCAGGGCAGTAATGGCAACATTGTGGGTGCTCCTCCATGTGTGTCCAGAGTGCAGACCTCCTACTCAGACCTAATTGGCTTTTTCCTGCTTTGTTTTAAGTTAGGCCGTTTTGTTTTTTTTCCTTCCCGGTTCTGAGTCGTCACCTTTGAGTGCTCTTGGGATTATATAATGAGTAGCTGTGAGCAGAAGAGTAATTCACTGCGTTCATAGTACTTAGCGTTTTTATGAAGATGACTATGTGGGATTTCAACCAGAGAGAATCGACACATGACAGAGTGGGTGTGTTTAATGGACACGATGGAGGCATTTCTGTTGTGTTGGATGAGAGTATGAGAATTCTATTGTTGAGTTGAATGTTTTATGTGCATCAAACATTAATTATCAAACACCACTTTATAGAACTTCCCAGAAAACCATTCTTTTACTATTATCTACAATGTTACATTAAGAGTGGGAGGTAGAAAAAAATCTTATAAATTCCATCTCACCCACCTCCATACACTGTAAATAATAACAAAAGTAGTCACGCTTATCACCGCCATTGAAACTACTGTAATGTGCCACCACTTTTGCCTTCTGTTGGCAGGAACATGTGGAAAATAACGAATTTGTGCATTAGCATTTGCTCCATTCATTTTACGAGTGCATTCAAAAGTCCACAGCAGCCAAACTAGACTGGTCTGAAAAATACACTCCCCTCTGCAATGACAGCATCTGGAATGTAACTTTGGGCCAAGAGCCACTTTTGGACAATTCTGTGAAGACGTTTTGAGAGGAAACAAGACACCATAAAAAAAGCATTGGGTAATTCTTTTTCCGGGTACACCCCCCACCCCCCCAGGTGATGACATTTATGGACCAGAACCCGCCATCTTGATGTTAACTTATATATGTATTAGGGCTGTCAAACGATTAATTTTTTAAATCGAGTTAATTACAGCTTAAAAATGTATTAATCGTATTTAATCACATTTCAAACTATTGGCAAAATTATGCCATATTTTTCTGTAAATTGTTGTTTGAATGGAAAGATAAATGACAGCTTAGTGAACAACTGTATTTGTTTGTTATAACAATAAATCCATATAAAATTAAATTAACATTATTAACATTCTGTCTTTCTGTTTAGACTCAGACCAAAACCATTGTTTGTTACAGATGAGGGACATTTCAAAATAGTCTGAAGCAGAATGTCATTAAATCTGTTTGATTTGCTCACACCATTACTTTTTTTGGCACAAATAACATGAACTGATGGTCGAAAGGAAAATTAGGTACCTCAGCTTTAATTTAGCGAGTGCGCTTCGGGAGACGACACGGAGGAGACTGAGGCTCCGCAGTCCAGCCTCAGCGCTGTACATATTGTGTGCATCGGTTACGCAAAGACACGTACGCACACTAGAGAATAGTTCTGTAATAGTTCTGTGCGTGGTCTTGGATATGATCCCATTACGCAGCGCCGTTCGCCGTGATCACAGCCGCTGGAAGTGGGAACTGTCCAGAGCGCTGTGGCGCCCGCAGCTCATCATGCAGAGTTCATACAGGAAACTACAAGTGCCCCGCGGTCACGCGTGTATTCTTTTAATTTTTTTTGATTGATTTTTAATTCCTGAAACATGGCAACAAAGCAAAATGAGACCAAATGTTGTTGTCATTTTCTGGTGGAATGTATTCAATAGACGATAATTGACCTCATCAGTCATCAGGACCTTCCCAAAGGCTCAACAGAAAAAAATGCTGATGTTTTATTTGAATTCTTTTAAAACAAAACAAAATCCCACACAATCTCCACACTTCTGCGTCCCTTAAAACATAGAAAACCCAAATAAATATGTGTTAGACAATGGTTGTAATATCCCAAAATTCTCAAGTTAAACTGGCAACCCTCTTTTACACATATCCAATGCAGACTTGTGGCTTCCAGTGCTGCAGTGAGAATAATGGAGACAGGAGAACGTATGGACAGGTCTTATTATCATCTCTGACTGTCTCCCCCTGCTCAGTATTCGACAGGGCTTGCTCGGTGCCTTGACCCCACGTCACGCTCGGCCACACGTTCCAGTGACAGCGCTTTCTGCCTGAGCCACTTTGTGTCTGCAGCAACAGGCCAGAGCAGGTCCAGAGTACAGGTGGCGTTTGTGAAGACCTCTCGCCATGACACCTGCATCGTGCACAACGCAATTCACACGAAAACCACCCCTGTCGCTGTTGTTTTCCCGGCTGAAAATGTGTGGAAAGACAGGGCAGTGACAAGGGTAGCTGTAAATGTCATTGTGCTTCTCCATTTAGGTGATTAGAAATTCAATATGTAATGCATTAAGGTGTGTGTAGTTGTGATCCTGCAAAATTGTCTTTATATCAAATTATATTACAGAGATTGTTCTCCTTTGTTGCTTTTTTGTTTGTTATTTTTGTTATTAAAGACAACAAAACAGGCAGACACATCAACATTCAACAAGAACACAACATAAAGCCAAGACTTGACAATTGTAATGGACAAAACATAAGGCAAGGACAACAGGTGTCAAATCATCTCTAATCAAATTCAGACAAATTTAACAATAACAAATACAAAAAAATTAACCAACATTTGTGGTCAACTGAAGTACAGAACCAAACCAAGGAAACTAAGAGAAAAGAACCCCCCACCAAGAACTAAGGAGGGCTTAAATACAGAAGGAGTAACCCAAATTAACACCAGAGAAATGCTAAACTGAAATAAAAAAAACATGTGTAGAGTCCCCCTGATTCATGGGACTCTTCTGTGGACTCTTTCAGCCTCCAGCCCTCCAGTCTTGTCCTTTGGTTTGCTCTATAGAGTGGTCACAGACAAATACACCACAACAATAAATAATAGATATATGTATATCAGTCTAAATGGGAATAATTACCCAATTATTCCCAAACGCACACAGGTAGACAAAGGTGAAACGTACACAAACAAACCGAGACTGTTAAATGTTAAATTGATACTTCATGGTTATGGGTGTGAGTATGTGGGTGCTGTGGTGTGTGGCATATTTGTTTCTTCCTCAATCGGCTGTTTGGGAGCGAGTGTGAGAAATGAACGGTTCAATGCATGTGGACCACCGTACTCTGAGCTGTGTTCCCACCGGATAATTTGTTGCAGCGAGTTTCAATGCAAAGTCAATGGGGACCTCCGCCCATCCTAGGAATTGCATGTACGTCGCGGCCCGCACTTTATCATTCAACTCATGCAGCTCCATCAACGCATGTCCGTGCACAGGCTTTAAACTTTTTCGTCTCAGGCTCTTTCTATTCAGTGTGGTACGTGTGTGTTGTTGAATGATCAAAGCTTCCTTGTATAAACTGGCTATACGTTGGAATGTTCGAGGTGACATTAAAGTGGTGGCAAGTTAAGGATCTTAGAACGCCTCGGTCTTAGTAGATTTTGCCACGCACTTTCAGTCGGCATGTGACAGCTCTTTAATAGACTTCCGTTATTCTATGAACGAAGAAGAAGAAGCCAGCCGCCGCACCATTATATGCATTGAATGTTCAGATTAGGGGCTCCTGGAGAGAGCGGCTTTATTTCCTTTATGTTTTCATTCAAAAGCTCCTTACACACTCCTCACTGATGTATTCAGACCATGTGCAGGGTCTCTTCCAGTGGGAGAGGGATGTTTGAACATATTCACCACCGTGCCCACCAGTGACCAGCCAGGGAGTATTTTTAGACACAGCTCGACCTCAGACAAAATCCTGTATTGGCTTTCTCAACGTGTGACAGATTTGGTCCATGACTTTTCCCACCATGAATACCTATCCGAGTCCCTGCGCGCTTTCTGATTTCATTAAGAGCCATGAAAAACGGAACATCCAGTACTTCACCCACTCCTGAGTCATTTCTGCTTCCTTCCCACAGCCATGGAGGAGCTCGACGGAGACGACGTGAGAGTATCCTCCAGAGGACGTCTTGCCGAGAGAGATATTGTGCAGGTACTTGTCACAACTCTGTTTTAACTGCACAGATTCGGCTGACAGCGCCAATGTGTGCTGGCAGTCTCTCTGGAGCTAGTATCACAACATACACATCTTCTGTGCACGGCCTATGAAAAGACACATTGTTTTACTCTGCACCCTGCTACGCTGTAAGTAGAGGATGTCGAAGACCAAATTGCCAAGTTCAACATCAGTTAATCTGTGTTTGAACATGGTGGGTGGGGGTCAGAAATGTTGTACCCTCAGCGTGACACTAGATAATCGCATTACCATTTCATTATAGGATTCACTATAACATTGATTGGACGCTTGGATCACAGCCCAGAAGCAGGACACAAAACAAGCTTCTATACCTCAGCTTTCTGTGTCCCTGTTGATTCTGTGGTTAAAAACAAAAATACAAAATGGCTCCACATATGATCCACACACATCACTGACGATATGGACCTACAGCGCTTTGCAAAAGTATTCATACACCAAACTCTTGCAGACATTTGTGGCTCTTATATTGCGTCAGCCACGAACAAAGATTTTTTTTTGCTTTTGACGGCAAGCCAGAAAAACATAACAAACAACTTTGAATTGCAAGAAAAGTTATACATGATTGTGTTCGTTTAAAAAGATCCAAAACTGAAAAGTGGGGTTTGAATTAGTAATCATACAGCATGAGAACGAAGTAGATTGTTTTGCTTGAATGTAGTTTGTAATGTTAGATACATTTACTATAGGTTCAATAGTAAAAAAAACTTCATAATCGTATTTGAGAAAAAAGTCTTAAGCTTGTTTTATGTACTTTTAAGTACTTTTTTCTTATTTCCAGACAACTTTTCTTGTTAAGATTAAATAAGTACATTTTGCCATATTTCAAGTACGTTTTGCTTATTCACAGAAATATTGTCAAGTCATTTTTTCTTATTCTCTTGCCAGAACGCTTTTAACATTTTAAGCAGTTTTTTTCCAAGGGACTACAAAGTGTATTAATACTTTAGCGAGGCTCTGTATGTGCCCGGTAGAGCAGACATACTCTTTGTCCGCTCGGTACGAAGGCAGCGAGAAGGCTTTTAACACCATGAAGCCAACATCTTATTCAAAATCAGAATCCATCCATTTAGGAGCGATGGTGCTTCTCTGTTAGACTTGGTTGAACAAAATAAATAAAAAAAGTTCCTTGTGTTTAACATCCACAAATCACTCTGCACAAAACCTTTACTATATAAACTTTTTCTTAAGGTCTTTTTACTGACCTTCCTTTTTGTTCCTATATCAATGAGCAATGTTCTTTTGAAATGCAAAAGTTTATACAAGAACCTAATCAGTGGCGATAGTGCAGAACATTCGTCTTACTATGCATTTTAAAGAAAGGAGAAAGCAAATGGGCCGGTCTCCGATAAGAACACTGAACTGCTGAACGTATTCTGCTGCAGTTTGCACAGGCTCCTGATAAGTTTTGCAAGTATACACGACTCGGCTGAGCTGTACTTAATGTATTGAATCTATTGTAAGATTAAAGGTCCCATTTTTTGCTTTTAGACTTTTCTCTGCTTTAAACATTATTACAGTGCTGTTTGGCTTCATACAGTTTAGTCGTTTTTTTCATCGATTCCTTCAAGTTTTAGATAAGATATACTTTATTGATCTCACAAAGGAGACAAGTGTTAGAGAGCAATCTTTCTCTTTCACCCTCGAGAGGCAGCAAAATGAGCGGGTCCAGGTCTATGGCCATTTCAACATCAATGACAAATAAGATGCGCAATGTTATTTTATTTTTAATTTTTAAATAGTTCTATGGTCGGCACGGTGGCTGAGTGGATAGCACTCTCGCCTCTCAGCAAGGAGGTCCTGGGTTCGAATCCCGGTTGGACCAGGGCCTTTCTGAGTGGAGTTTGCATGTTCTTCCCGTGTCTGCGTAGGTTTCCTCCGGGTGCTCCGGTTTCCCCTACATGCACAATAGGTCTGGCATGTACCTCCTGTACTGGCGACCCCACTCCCAAAAATAACAATTGTAAACCGCTTTGAGACTCCGATGTGCAGTGAAAAGGCGGTATATAAATAAAGGTTACTCACTACTTACTAGATTACTTACTACTACTATAATACTTTCAGCAAAACAGGGAAACAATAAACAATAAATACTGTATGCTGTCTGTTGTCAATAATAATAATATGTATTGTAGCGTGTGTCTATGATGTGGTCTATGGTATGGACTGTGGTATGTCTATGGTATGGACTGTGGTATGTCTATGGTATGGACTGTGGTATGTCTATGGTGTTGTCTATGGTGTGGTCTATGGTATGGACTGTGGTATGTCTATGGTGTTGTCTATGGTGTGGTCTATGGTATGGACTGTGGTATGAACTGTGGTGTGGTCTATGGTATGGTCTATGGTATGGACTGTGGTATGTCTATGGTAGGGGTCTCCACTATAACCTTTATGCAAAAGAAGAGGCAGAGGGCTACTCATTTTTGCAGTCATAGTAAAATAATATATCTAATAATTAGGACAAAACATAGAAAACACATGTATAATATTCCATAATACTGTATTACCTATATGTATACTTAAAATATATATGTAATGACTCAAAATATATTCATTCAAGATCATTTGTTATGATCTAAATCCTTTGGCAAGTTACTGGTAGCTCATGAGCCACAGGTTGGAGACCCCTGGTCTATGGTGTGGTCTATGGTATGGTCTATGGTATGGTCTATGGTATGGTCTATGGTATGGTTTATGGTATGTCTCCCGAGTACAGTGTACTTAATGTATTGAATTAACTTGTATTTTTGTTGTCAGTAAAGTAGTGAGGTGAGCCTGGGTTCATCTTTCAAGTGTCTTAATCATTAAATGCAATATTCATTTCTATTGATCCGAGTTCCACCCACAGGATGTGTCTGGTGGAGATTTACCCGTGCTAATGTTTTTTCATAAAGATTCAGCTCACTGCACTCTGAACATCGACCACTAAAAAGCTAAAATAATGTATCCCTTGAATAAAATGCATTTAGTTTCTTTCACTTTTTTACTGAGACTGTAAAGAGTGGAAAGAATAGAGGCGTGTCATCAAAGGAACCAGATTAGGAATAATACATATAATGTACTATTTTAGGATTATGTGTAAATCCTCAGATGAGAAGGATCAACTTTAGGCAAATGACGACGTGAGATTTCCTCTTGTTAAACTCTCCCTGTCTGCCTGATTGGTAAAATTGGAAAAAAAATATTACCAGCATGGCCACCTAGGTGCCTAGTCTTGAAAAAACAAAAAAACAAAGTGGCAGACGACTGTAAGTGAAAGCAGGATGAGAAGATAAGATAAACTTTATTGATCTCAAAGTTACATTTGGCATAAATTAGCCTGGACATCCGTAAACTCTGGTTCATTATCATTTCCTACATGTACATCTGGTCTTACCATGTGTAAACATCTGGTCTTACCATGTGTAAACTCTGGTCCATGGTCATTTCCTACATGTACGTCTGGTCTTACCATGTGTAAACTCTGGTCCATGGTCATTTCCTACATGTACGTCTGGTCTTACCATGTGTAAACTTTGGTCCATGATTATTTCCTACATGTACGTCTGGGTCTGATCCTAGTGGCTGCAGTTTCCTCGGTTGAATCCCCTCCGACCAATCAGAGAGCGGGGGAGGCGGGTGTTGTAGGTCGTGTTGGTGACGTCAGGAGTTTGTGCTGAATTTGCTGGTTGTAGTTTGGCAGCAAATGTGAAAGTGAAGTCATCTGTTATGGTTCAATCCAAATATCAAGAAACTGAAGCCGGAGCAAGAGGAAAGTTTAGCAAACGTCATTGCTGCACAGATTTGGGCTCTACTCCCCACAGGCTCCATTAGTAACAAAGAAGATGACTAAAGCTAAGCTAAATGCTAAAGTTAGCAATTCACTCAGGCGCACAAGATGACACTTCAAACTCAGATCCAATCGTTTCCATCTGCAAAAGGATTTAACCCCTCCCACCTGTTAACGAGGCTCAGTGGATCTTAGCACAAAATGAAATGTGTACGATGGTGTAGTAAGACCAGGATAGGCATAAATTAAATCACTCAGGATGTGCAAACATGTTCACAAAATGAGGAGAAAGTATTTTGCATTAAGTTGTACGCAGCTAAACATAACTGTTCTTAACCTGGATGAAAACATTGTCAGAGAAGAAGCCTGTCCCACGTTTTTAGGAAGATTGTTAAAAAAAAGGGAACTCTTGCTTTCTCTTCACATCTGTGTATTGGCCTTTCACTAAAACATATTTCAGTATGAATATTTATTTTGTGGTTGTATTCAGACAAAATGTGTGAAGTTGATGGGGTATGAATACTTTTGCATAGTTTTGAAAGGTGACACTTTTGACCACAAATCTACAGTATATTTGCAAAAACGGAAAGAAACCCGTCTTTCTGTCGACCTCATTAACGACCACAAACTCATGCACATGTGTGATAATCCATATGTCCAATTAGCCCAGCAGCAGATTATATATGAAACCAAACTCGCACAAACTCCTGAGGGTGATGCTCCAATTTTTAAGCCTTGTAAAAATAAAATGTAGCGTAACACTTTTTATTTATTTTTTTCTCCGTATCTACTTTCAAACTTCTGAATACATTTGAATTGGTTTGAATAAATTGTTTCTCTAAAATTATCCTTTGGCAGAATTTATGGGAAAATCACTGTTAATTAATGTCAAAGTAAGCAGTCCAACCCCCAAATATTGAGTTAACTTGATTAACTTGGCCAAACTTGCATGCAAAAGATTGGGTTAGACCTTTGAAGCTAAGACGGGCAGGGCCTGGTTTGATGGTGATGGGAGACCTTGACAGTGACGCAGCTGTGACTGTAAATTGCCAAACTGCTATTGTGTCCTTAGGCAAGACACTTCACCCACATTAGAATGAGTCTGGTGTGTGTGTGAATGGTTGGTGGTAGCATAGACTGGTTGCCTCGCTTCTGTCAATGTGCCCCAGGGCAGCTGTGGCTACAGTAGGCTGCCCCGGGCCCTCCTGCCCTCGCATCCCCAGCCCCCACCTCGGACAGTACATCCCAGTCCCCCCCCCTCTCCATCACACCGGACCAGGTGAGGAGTCAGCTCCAGCGCCTGAAGCTGAGGAAATCCGCAGGACCGGACTTGATCAGTCCCAGGCTGCTGAGGACCTGTGCAGACCAGCTCTCTGGGGTCCTCAGCTACATGTACAACCTGAGCCTCAGCCTGGAGAAGGTCCCTGTCCTGTGGAAGACCTCCTGTGTGATCCCGGTTCCAAAAACAGCACACGCCAAGGAACCGGCTCACTACAGACCAGTCGCACTGACCTCCCACCTGATGAAGACAATGGAGCGGCTCATCCTCACCCATCTCCGCTCCGTGGTCAGCCCCACCCTGGACCCGCTGCAGTTCGCCTACAGACCCAACATCGGAGTAGAGGACGCCGTCATCTACTTCCTGCAGCGGACGCTCTCCCACCTGGAGCCCGCCGGGAGCGCTGTGAGGGTCATGTTTTTCGACTTCTCCAGCGCTTTCAATACCATCAGGCCGGCACTGCTGCGGGGGAAGATGGAGGACGCGGGAGTGGACAGTAGCCTCACTGCATGGACCATCAACTACCTCTCAGACCGACCACAGTACGTGCGGCTGCGCAGCTGTGAGTCTGAGGTGGTCGTCTGCAGCACTGGGGCCCCTCAGGGCACTGTCCTCTCACCGTTTCTCTTCACCATCTACACCTCAGACTTCACACACGACACACACAGCTGTCACCTGCAGAAGTTCTCCGACGACTCCGCCATCGTGGGCTGTGTGTCTGAGGGGAACGAACTGGAATATCGGTCGGTTATCAAGGACTTTGTCGACTGGTGTGAGCGCAACCACTTGTGCTTGAACACCAGTAAGACCAAGGAGATGGTCATCAACTTCAGGAGAAAACCACTTTCCCACACGCTGCTGAACATCCAGGGGGAGGACATTGAGCTGGTGGACAGCTTCAAGTACCTGGGTGTTCACATTAACAATAAACTGGACTGGTCCCATAACACTAACGCCCTGCACAAGAAGGGCCAAAGTCGCCTCTTCCTTCTGAGGAGGCTGAAGTCCTTCGGAGTGAGCAGGCCTCTGCTCAGGACTTTTTATGACTCTGTAGTAGCTTCTGCCATTTACTACGCTGCCGTGTGCTGGGCCCCGGGCAGCACAGAGCGGGACAGAAACAGACTGAACAAGCTGGTCAGGAGGGCCAGCTCCACTCTGGGCTGCTCCCTGGACTCTGTGGAGGAGGTGAGGGACAGGGTGCTAGCCAAAGCCACCTCCATCATGAACAATACCTCCCACCCACTGCACAGGACTGTAGAGGAGCTGAGGAGCTCCTTCAGTGGAAGACTGAGGCACCCTCAGTGTAGGAAGGAGCGCTACCGCAGGGCCTTTATCCCCACCGCTGTCAGACTGTACAATAAGTCACTTTAAATGATCACTGTGTGAAAACCTGCACTACTATTGACACTGTTTCCAATTGACACTTGTCACTTTTGTTGTACATAATTATTGTCACTTTATTGTACATATATCCTGCATGTAACATGTTTGCACATTTCCTCCCTTTGCACAATCTGAGTGTCTCTATCCATGCCAAATGTGACATGTAAATTTCTCCTCTGTGAGATAAATAAAGCAATCTTATCTTATCTTATCACCACCGTGTTTAGAATGAAAGAATAAGGACATGTGAAGCGTCTTCAAGTGCCCTGAAAGCACTTTATAAAACTAATGCTTTATTATAATTGGATCTTGGACTTTATTATTATTGGATCTTCATGGGACATTTAAGAGCGAAGGGCTACGAAGGAAAAGTCATAGATATATAAGAAATGTTTGGACGGGTTCAGGAAACTCACTCATTTTGTTCTGGATCATTACGCAGCTCCTCGCAGCACGAGTTTTGTTGTTCTTTCTTTTTTCATGAATCATGTACAAATTATGTATTCTGCACAATCTGATAAGCATCTGTGAAAATCAAAAACACAAAGTAAACGCAGTTGTGAGATTACATTTGCCGAGCGTTTGCAGTGGCAATTATACTTACAATTACAGTTCAAAAGTTTGAGGAATAATTATTATTTAATCTTTAATTCAGACACACAAAGGGTCCATATAAAACAAAAGAGACAAAAAAACACAAACATTCAATATTTACAAAATTCTATAAAGACAGCTTCTCCAATGCCTCCAGAGATCAGAGGTGAGCCTAACACTGCTCTGTACAGTAAAAACATTCATTATTACATTTAAAGAGTGCTCAGAGCGTTTCATGAACTTATAAATACAGTTTCTGATCACAGCAGTCAGAGCGGGGACATTATTAAAAACAAACAGCTGGCACTAGTCCAACGAGGGACTCTCAGTCAAATTCTAAGTGCATCATTATATGCAACCTGCAGCTTCTTAAACTAACTCTTACTGTATCTGCACCACAAGTGGGCAGTATAGAGCAGAGTGCAGTAGGCTTTAAACAAAGTTATTTTCACTTTATCTGTACTCATGTGAAATCTCCGAGCCAAAGTGTTAGCCTGTCCATACAGCTTACAGTACTGCCTCTGAATGTCATCATCATTGAGGTAAGTAAGTAAGTAAGTAATCTTTATTTATATACCGCCTTTTCACTGCCATCTGAGTCTCAAAGCGGTTTACAATTGTTAGTTAGGGGCACTTCCTCTCACGCCACACAGAGATGGGAGCGGGGTCGCCAGTACAGGAGGCGCATGCCAGAACTATTGGACATATTTTTAGTGGTAGGGGAAACCGGAGTACCCGGAGGAAACCTACGCAGACACGGGGAGAACATGCAAACTCCACTCAGAAAGGCCCTGGTCCGACCGGGATTCGAACCCAGGACCTTCTTGCTGAGAGGCGAGAGTGCTATCCACTCAGGTCACTCCTGATTACGTGCCCCAGGTATTTGGCCTTCTCTACATTCTGAAGCACCCCACCCACCACATAAGGGAAAGTTACGAGACGTATTTGAAAGCATCCAAATGTGTGGAGCTTGGAGTGAACCAAAACTTAATCTGAAGTGAGTGTGTTTTTTTTTTAACATACTCCATGTTCTTATGCTCTGTAAACACACACAATGTTTAATTCTTTAGTTTGTTGTTGGTGAATCGTCAATGTTTTTAAGTCCTCCGAGACGACCGCTGTTGATTGATTGATTTTTTTGAGCAGAGTTTATACATTAATACATTTATAGAGTATTTAGAATTATGAAAATGAAATGTCCCCATTGTGGAACGATTAGAGGATCTAAAACATAAATATACAATCACGCAACAGTATTTAGTTACACATAGTTATACCATGTGTTGGTATATTTACAACGGTAATGTCTGTTTACAAATGTATTTCTATATACACATTTTCAGCTCAAAATGGAGTCGTATAAGTCAGAACTTGTAGAGTCCCACCACTTCAAACATAATTTAAATACATGAATTAATTTAGTAATTTAATCATTGAATAATAATAACTTTTTAATAACATGTGGTCTCGTATCTAATTCACGCGGTCTGGTTTTTTTTGCAGTTCGTTCCCTTCAGAGACTACATCGACCGATCGGGAAACCAGGTCCTGAGCATGGCCCGTTTGGCTAAGGACGTCCTGGCCGAGATCCCAGACCAGCTGCTGTCCTTCATGAAGAGCCGGGGAATCGAACCCAGACCCGCCATGTCCACGCCCCCCATGCCAGAGCTGCACCCCCACATGTGACCGAGCCCCTTTGCCCCCTTTACATGACGCCTCACACGGACCCTCTGTGTCAGCATTGGACGAAGCAGATACTATTGGATGTATTCAGACTCCTTTTACTGGAAATGGAACTTCCTGGGCCACCACGGCACGGTTTGGCACAGGAGGTTATACTTCAATGTATGTAGGAGGATTTTCTACTTCCGGGTGGATCATCATTGGTCCGGTAGAGAGGGCGCTTCTTTGCTAAAGTTTGGGAAAATCCTCCTACATATCTTTAACAGACACCAACGGCAGAAAAATTGGGTTTGTCTTTAATTATTCCCAAAAAAAAACCACTTTACATTTGAAAGTGGATTGTGCTGCAATTAAAACTTAATTATTCCAGAGTGGCTTTCACTTAGTTTTAAAATATTTGTGCTTTGAACTAACTATACTGCCATGCCATATATTTATCAAGAATTTCATATTTTACCAGTATTTTTTAATGTACATTTATAATATTTGGTTTTTAGTTTTTAATGCTTTTTCGCCCTAGAAACCTTCTTATTTATTTATTTATTTATATATAGATAGATCAATTTAACAGACAAATAAACATGTAGACTCCAAATTCATTTTCTAAACCTTTTTTCCAACATTGACTCCTCCTTATATTTTTATTTCTTGTTTTGGTTATCTAGACATTGGTATAGAACTTTAATCTGAAATTTTACTTTTAACTTTATACCCAATCTGGTACAATTTTTAATAAAATAAGAATTGTATACCAGAAGAAAGAAGTAGAGAGTATCCGGCAATTTAAATGCCAAAAAACTTGACAGTAAATTAAAATGTTCAGATATAAATAAGTTAATTCAATTCAATTTATTTTTGTATAACCTTAAATCACAGCAACAGTCATCTCTGTGGTTTTCAAAAGTCGCCGATTCCTCAACATCAGATCAGAGAAACCGCTTCTCTTTAAAATGCAGCCCAAAATCAATCAACACCCAGACTTTGCTTGGTCTCTGTTTACATTGCAGAGGAACCATTCTGTGCCATACCGTGCCATGCCGAGTCCAAACCAGGACTCCTCCCGTGGACAGAGGTTCTCCACTTGTCCTTGCCCCGGCTCAGTTCGGACAGAGCTCGGGAAGCACAGGACATTACCTGTAATTGAAGTGAAGGCCCCAGACCAGGCTCCGGGACTAATCCAGCTCCGATCGGGTGTAGGCTGGTGGGCTGCGGGTATTTTTAGATCCTTCGTCGTAAATTCAGTCGGTAATTGGTTCAGCGAGGGGACGGGTGTTTGATTTATTCCTCTGATCGTCATTATACCCGAGATAATATGAGCAAAGCACTGCCAAATGTCAGGATAATTTAATATAGACTGGCAACAATTAGTCTAATCCAAACAGATGAAGGAGTCACAGGAGGAGGTTTATGGAGATGCCAGAGCAGCCACAGATGCTCGGCAAACATCAGGATATGAACAGAACGGAATGTTGGTCTGGAGTGCACGGGGATGGCTATTTCAGGCGTTTCGGGGGCGGATTCTATGATCAAATCACACTAATAACTGAATGATATGCAGTGTGCAGTGTGTTCATCAGGAGAAGCGTCAACGGTCATTTGTCATTCATTTTTTTCTCAGTCGCTTTGGTGATTTTGTCGGATAAGAATGACATTTCTCACGACTGTTCAACCTCCACAACTTTGAGTCGTGTGTGACGTCATCGCAGAATTGCACCAAAGCGACGGAGAAAAACTGTAAAAGATTGTTGAGTTTGAGACGCACTCCATACTTTTCACAAAACAATGTTCATATCTTTACCTCATATTGTTTGTTAAATCCCAGTTGGAGTTTTCTTCTTTTTACAGATTCATAGATGGATAGATAACTTTATTTGCAGACTCGAGGTCGATTCGATTTTTCTATTTCATGAATGTATTTTTTTTAAATCCACTTATTTTATCATTTACCATGTATTGCTAAAACTAATTACTAGCATTACTAGAATAGTACGTATAACAAGTATACTAATATGATAGAATAGAAGTAGTTCAGTGAAGTCTCAACATGTTTTCCTGAAATCTGTGACTATATTAAAGGTAAAGTTAAAGATGCACTTTATTGTCCCCGTAGGGCAATTCATCCTCTGCATTTGACCCATTCTGATGCCACTAAGGCATACGTCAGGAGCAGTGGTTGCCGTAGTAACAGCTCCCGGGAACCCATCTCCAGATGTTGATGCTCGGCTTGGTCAGGACCAGAGCTGGAGGATTTAACCTAGTGAGCATGTGTTTAGTGGTAGGGCAGGCCGGAGTACCCAGAGGAAACCTACGCAGGCACAGGGAGAACATGCAAACTCCACTCAGAAAGACCCTGTTTTGTCCGGGATTTGAACCTAGGACCTTCTTGCTCATAGGCACTTTAATAATGTCATGGCCTGTGTTCACTTAATTTGTGTTTCATTTCTATAACAATGTATATTTCTGACTAAATGGCGGCACGGTGGCTGAGTGGATAGCACTCTCGCCTCTCAGCAAGAAGGTCCTGGGTTCGAATCCCGGTCGGACCAGGGCCTTTCTGAGTGGAGTTTGCATGTTCTCCCCGTGTCTGCGTAGGTTTCCTCCGGGTACTCCGGTTTCCCCTACCACTAAAAACATGTCCAATAGTTCTGGCATGCGCCTCCTGTACTGGCGACCCGGCTCCCATCTCTGTCTGGAGTGAGAGACAAATGCCCAAAAATTAACAATTGTAAACCGCTTTGAGACTCAGATCTGCAGTGAAAAGGCGGTATATAAATAAAAACTTACTTACTTACTTACTTACTTACTAAATAGATGGATATTATTTTTTCCACAGATGTATTTATTTATAATGGTCTCTTTCCGTGGCATAACTTCAAACCGTCATATCTGCTGGGGTGGAAAAGATGAGGGGCCTTAAGGGTTTGAATGAATTCCAACCAATCAGGGGGCTGCGGCGGTGAGCATGTGCAAACCAGCTCGATCGTAACGACAAAACATAATTGAAACGACTCACGACTCGTCCGCAATATATGTCTTACATTATTCAGTCCAAAGGTCCGGTGAGAAATGAGCGAGGCGTCCGTCCAAAATGGTTTCGCCGTTTCCAGCCGTTAAACCCACATTTCCTCCTGAGTGCACAAGGCCAAAGATCACCGCATGAATATTTAGACGCGGCTCTCTTGGCTGGACTGTGCTTATAGATGTTTAAAGATATTTGACCCACTGTATTAAAGGTCCAGGCCAAACACATGACACCGGCAGCGATACACAAACCTGCTGAATATTCATGTTTTAACACAATTTGATCAAGATGAATGTCAGCCATAACACCATCCTGTCCGTTTGCGATATTTGTCCCAGAGAAAACCCAGACCAATACATTTAATGGACCCGCTGCTTCAGTTTGCCATTTCTGTTACGACGTGACTGCTTTATTACATGCATTCTCCTGAGACATGTTGTGATGGTTCTGCTTTGGGGCTGTCTCAAACCACGTTTCAATTGGTCCACTGGGAAAACTCGGATTCCTATAGTTGTTTCATGCTAATAAACAGGCAATTTTAGTCAGACGAATCTTGAAAAGTGCACATTGAAAGCTTTGAGATGGAGATGATTGGTTGTCAGGTTTAGTGTTAAGTTCAGGTTTCAGGTTTTCTGAGTCCGTATAGACCAGTTATCAAAATTCATGATATCAATTATGTGTTTTTTGTATTAATTTGTTTAATTGAATGCAGCAATGCCCATTATAGATAGATAGATACATAGATAAGGGGAAATGCAGATGTCCAGTCGCAGCAGAAACACATCCATCCAAACGAAACATAACAAATCTAAAAAATAGCTAACACTAGTCTTAAAATGCACTTTAGAAATTCTAATTTTACTTTAGTCTTAGCCTTGACTAAAAATAATTGTAGTTTTGGTCCAATTTTAGTCGACGAAAACATGAAGCAGTCGACTAAAATAAACCTTTTTCTGAAACATTGCTCATGACATTTGTAGCCTACGGTAGCAAACGTGACACAGGTTGCTTATTACCTTAAAGGTGCAGTTAGCGATGTTGTTAGCTTAGCCATAGCACCGACTGGAAACCACTCCCCCCTCCCCTCCCTCTCCACCAAACCAAACATCCAGCATTTTCTTTTCTTTGTCACAACAGGGAGAGTGAAGCAAACGTGAAATTGGCATTTTCTGTTCAGCCGTTTATGGTTTTAGAAAATCTGATAACTCCAGTGCACTCGCAAGAAACAGGAAGAGGGTGAAGGCGGTAAACACATCCCATTGGTTCGTTGGGGAAGAACGAACCCCATTGGTTTATTTTTGTCGGCCCGCTCCAAAATATGTTTCTTTAATTTTTGGAGACTATAGACATCTGAACAATTCAATTAATATTGGAAAACACACGATAAAAGTTGACTACTTTTAGGGTTTAGGGACGTTTTCCCACAATATTTAAAAAAATTAGCCTGGAAAATATCACTGACTGCATCTTTAATTTACTTTGGAGCAATCTTAATGGCTTCTGTTCACAGCTGGTGCCACCGGTGCTCACTGAGGAAAGCCCTCATTGGTTCTCCTCACATACTGTATACTTCAGCCAGTCCATTGGTTGTTTTCTCATTTGCTCTGATCTCTCCGTTCTTCTGATTTGATTTCGTCATATGGTCTATTATTCGTCAGGTCTTTAATCATGGACGTAAAAGTCGCTCAATTCAGTCATCGTCTGCGTCTCAATGAATGACTTCTATTTCCGTTTTTGTTTCGTTTTCGTCCCCAAAATTATACATTTGGGATTAAAAATTAACACTGGGGGGGTACAAGTTTGCATTACTTCTTATTTGCGATGATTTTATGGTAAAATGTCCTAAATGTGGCCGCTCTACTCCTTCAGTCATGTCCATAGTCACGATTTCTCCAAACTCTTTGCACCGCTGTGATTGGATAACACGGCGAAAGGATTCCACATGTTCATTACTGCTATTAAAACCCCCACCCACCCCACC